GCCACAAGTCAGACAAAAAAAGTAGTATAGTATATAAGTCCGTGTTGCCTTACCTGATTCGAGCTAAGTCCTGATAATGAAGGGAAAACAGCTCAAGTTGCGAAAGACGAGAATGAGTTATTGAGTCTTTTTATGACTATATAGGGAGGAAGTAAGAACTCTGAGGTGACAGCTGGAGCTGACTGCTGAAGTGTAAAAAGAGGTAGTGAGCATGAAAATTCACTCTCGGGGGGAAATCTGTATGTGTGCGCCTGTAAAATGACAATAAATTCATCTTTTGCATATTTTGTAAGACACCTAAGGACAAAGTAGATTTCAAAGAAAATAACAGTTGAATTGTTTTGTTTATTCAAAAAAACTACATCTTATGAAATTTGATCAACTTCTTTATTGATTAGGAATCTAAAAACAAGCAAGTAAGGCAGTCAAATGTATTATGTAGTATGTGGTATATAATATACTGTAACTGTACTGGACCGTGACCACAATGACTTCTGCTTCTTCTGACTTTCAGGCTCTAATCATCACTTCCTCTTTGTCTCCACTCATAAATACTTTATACTTAAAGTAATAGTTTAAAAGTGACAGAAAAAGAAGAGATGTGTCAACAAACAACAAAAAAACCATCATTTAATATCAGCTTAAAACTGTCACTGTCACAAACCGTATATGTAAAATAGTACTATTAAAACACAATACACCTCTGTCCATTATAATCTGTTAGAAATAATTCAGTGTCAACAAGAAGAGTGCACTCAATGCGGATGAGAAAGCACCTAATGCAATGCCACCACAAGTGCCAGATGCAACCAGCAGAGATTTGCATTGCATATTACGTATAAGTTTCTGTAGAGTCACATTGTATTACACTCAATCGTATTGCATCATATAGCCAAACTGTATAAACTTTATAAGAAAACAATAAATGACAGTCGTAGATGCAGTGTGATCCAAGAACAGTTGTGGAAGAATTCAGATCTTTGACTTAACTTTTGCTTTGTCATTACACTTCCTATGACCTTAGGATCAAATGTTACACTAACAAAGATTAATTGAAAAGTGTAACAGCAGACCTGCAGAGATGGATATTGCATTATCTTCGTCATTTCTTCATTGTGTATCAGCAGACAAGGCCATGTGTATACAGTTTTTCTTGTAATTATGGTGAGTGGGGTTATATCGTTTTCATTTCATTGTTCACAGTGTTTCATTGTGTCTTGCCTTCCTAGAATGTCTGTTTGTACTCTCTAAAGCTGCTTTAATTTAAGACCTTGTATTGTGCAAATCTGGGTTACAGAAAGTAAAAACTGGTTCTCAGGTTACTTGAAATTGTCGGTTTAAAATAAATATTTATATTTATATTATATTTTTATTTCTTTTTTTTTTGATAACCTGGTTACTAGACCAATCTGGCAAATACGTCCCTCCACACTCTAATTGAGAATGAGAAGCATTGTTTTCTTCCATATCCTGGTTGCAATGTACTTTAAGCTCGTTTGACCTTATTCCCTTGCAGATGTAGGCTAGCTAGATGTTACTACGATGTACAAATGTGAACCAAGTTGTTTTCAAGGCTGTACAACCAGCAGAATCAGGGGCGCCGCCAGGGGAATTTGTGGGCCCATCGACAAAAAATCAAATGGGCTTTTTCTGCGCAGCTGTTGTCGCAGACAGGTCTTAGGACCTAACTGTCCTAAAGCTTTACGTAACTCTATTAAGGATTGCAATTTCTTGCTTCTTGTAGTTCAATACTAGTACGTAGCAAATATTTAACTGCTGTGATTTGTTACATGTCATGCAAGTCTGCATACAGTATGCAGTTCACTATTTGATCAGATTAAAAGCAACCATCAACCAAATGGTGCTAAAGGCTTCTTTTAACAGGTCTCAATGTAATTTTTTATTGTAAATTTCAAAATGGAAAATTCTCTAACAAAATTAATACATTAATTTATAATTATGAATTATTATTATAATTATTAAGGAAGATTTAAAAAAGAAAGAAGTTGAATAAACTAAATAATTACTCATCGCTCAACAATGAAACAGCAGATTTTTTACTTAGTGCACATTATGCAACAAGAAAAGTCTCGAAATGTAAAATGGAATTTCAACCAGGGTTATTATAGTGCTCAAAACAGATCAAGTTCACTAAATCAAAAGGTTTTTTTAAGATTTTATTTCATAATGATCATTATGTGAGAAATAATTGTTTTTATGTGTTTTAATTTCTGTCATTAATAAATATTTATTTTCTTTTTTGTGATGGTAAAAAAAGAGACAAAGAGAGCAGAGAAATCCCCCACAGACTCCCCTTGCAATGATGCCTACTTTTCACTGGGACAGGAGGGGGACAGGTGAATGGGGGAAGACGGGCTGGGAGCTGCTGATCATCTGTTGTTCAGTCTGCTAAAGGGCAGGGAACTTCGATTTGTAATATGAATATCAACGTTTTCCTGAACTGATATGGTGATTAAATGTGGCTAATAGTATTAGCCAACAGGTTAACAGCACTCACAGATTATAGAGGCACACACTTCTTGGTGAAAATGGGTTACCATTGACTCTTTCTTTGTCTTTCCTCTCTCTCTTTTCAAAAATCAAAGTCAAAGCTTAAAGTCAGCAAGACAAGAATATTTTGAAGGGGCTTATGGGTATCGGTCATTGCTATTAATGCAGAGTCAAGTGCACATGTGCAAATACTGAGTAAAATTGCATTTCAGATAACGCTTCTGCTGTGGAGATTCTTCAGCCTCACCCAAGGGTAAACCTATAGTGACGTCACAGTACATTAAATATGTTTGTGATCTGACGAGAGAAATAGTCAACGCAGTAACAGCCTAGTTTGACAGTTTGATCTGAGTTTGGTGCGTTGAGCTGGACAAGGTAGCCACGTCCTAAAGCATACCCTGCTTTATTTTCATATATATTTTTACTCTAGATAGGACCATAATTTACTAAATGAACATCATGCTGTATGGAAGAAGACTTGAAACTTGAGATTAAACTCATTAGGAAATTGTTTACTGAGCTCATTAATCAAGTTGGGTCATTCATCCATCAGACTGAATGGTACTGGTCTTTATTGTAGCCAATGGAGCAGCTGGCCTTTACATAGACTACAAGTTTAAGACACTTCCACTTCTTCCATCTTAAAAAATAAATACTGAACATGATGGGATGATCTTAGGGCTTGTCAATAGTGCGGAATTTCATTGTTGTAGTTATCTTGACAGCCCTACACAACCCTTGTTTTGGCTTTTTCCTGACTACACCGGAAGTGGGGATGTGTTGTGCGATGTTAATTAGAGAAAGATCATCATTAGCTGCATTTCCACAAGTAACAATTTTATAATCTACAGTGTAAAAGACTGACAGAGCTGGAACAGTAGTTTGACAAACAGATGAAATCAGTTCTCCTGCAGTTCTGGGTATTAGCTGGTCATGATGACTGGGCAGAATGTATCAGATTTTACAGCTTATGTTGTACATGTCTCATATCATACTGTTTACTGCAGTCTGTGACCCAGACTTGCACAATACAAGGTCTTAAATTAGAGCCACTTTAGACCGCACGAACAGACAAGACAGCCTGGGAAGCCGAGACACTGTGAACAATGCAGTGAAAGGCCGATATAAAAATGATGTAACCCAAAACTCATCACGATTACAATAGTCTTGAAAATAATATCTATATACACTAGGGCTCGTCCACTGATATACAATAATTAAATAAGGTCATTCTTAGTGTAACATTTGATCTCAAAGCTAGGCTGCAGTCGTGGGAAATGAAACAATGACACAGCAGAAGTGATGTGCAGGATAAAAGGCAGGGAAGCAAAGCTTTGGCTCAACACAGCAGCTGATCCTGAAACAGGTGAGTCTACTTTGGATTGTTTTTGAAAACTAATTATCACTTTGTTTGATTGCAGTGTGATTAAGGGCTGCATTTTGAACATAGAATATATTATCACGCAGAGATATGAAGAATTTAATTTGATGAAACACAAAGTGCACAATAATAGCCTCTCACTATTCTCTAACTTAACGCAAACATAATATCAAGGGAACTCAGTGCTTTTTTTAAATTAATTAAGTCAAACTTTTAAAATAAGTTTTGCTGACCTATAATATTTTGTTGAGATAATGTACTTTTATTCTTGAGAAAAATTTAAATGTGAAAAAAAGTGAGCTGTTACCCTGATTATTTGGTTGCTTAAATTAAATAGTTGCAATTGAGATTTGTTTCCAAAATTATCAAAATTATTTGCCCATTTAAAAACTACAGTTTGAGTCAGTCAGAGTTTTCTCAACAGTTTTTTTTGAGTGTATTTACTATATACATCATGTTACATTATATATATGTCTGTATACTAATATCTTTCTCTGTGCTCAAAATGTCCCATAAATATAAAGCCAACAAAGAGATAAGAAATCTTTAAAGCATTTCTACAAATTACCATTGCTCCTGCCTCAAGGAAACAAACTGAAAATGCAACAAAAACACCCGTCTAATAAAAGTAACTTTGTTGTGAATTGGCGCTATACAAATTGAATTGAAAATTAAATTGAATTAAAGCATTAGGTTTAGATAATATTTTGTGTTAGTGTTTTATGATTTTGGAAGAATCATAATTGCTGCTTGGATCATGTTCACTGGCAAAGCTCCGTACATGACTACAGATCTGGGATTGAATCACACAAGTGGTTAGGTGGATTAACTCATTAGGGGCCCTTGGCAACCTCAGGTGTGGAGCATTTAAATACAGTTGTAGACAACAAGTAACAAGTCTGAAATAGAAGGGCAGGTACAGTATTACCTGTATCTGTCGTCGGTTGTGCTTAAACCTGAAATGGGTGAGGCTAACCCAAAATTGTTTATTTAAGCCTGAAATTGATATGGGTTGATGCAAAGTTGCAATATTTATTAGGAAACTCTTTACAGAATTGAGCTTAAGTTTACAGAATGATAAATGATCTAAAAACCTTGCTGACAGGCCACACATCATCATCATCATCATCACCATCACCATGAAGTTGCTCAGTGTGTCTCTCGCACTCTGCCACCTCCTGATGCTGAGCCGAGCCGTTCCGCTCAACTCCTCCGTCTCCACAGAGAGGCATGGGGGCCTCTGTGAGCACGCGAAGGAACACGCTTCCGACCTGATCGGGGCGTTCGTCCCGCAGTGCGACGCCAACGGGAATTTCCTCCCGCAGCAGTGCTGGGCGTCCACCGGGGAATGCTGGTGCGTCGACGTCATCACCGGAAAGGAGATACCGCACACAAGGACACCACCGGGAACCGTGCCTGTTAACTGCAGTGAGTGATGATCACGTACATGTCGTATTTTGTTCTAGTTTTCTAAATATGAACAGTCGTGGACTTAAACTAACTATATGTACAATTTTGGGGTGCTCATAGGCCCGGGTTTTGTCATATTTACTGAAACTTTCACTGTATCCTGATATTAGTACGAGACAGATCATCTGTGAAAAAATCTGGATCTTTCGAGTGCTCCTAATGGCATTTGCAAGACCCAAATGAAGACAATCAGAAAGATATAAAGAGGCTTTGGGTTGGAGTCTTGGCTCTGATTGGTTGTTTTTGTTCAGGTCGGGTGGGTTATTGTAAATGCCATTAGGAGTACTCGGAGGAGCCAGAGGAACTAGATTTATTCACAGATTATCTGTCTCATGTACTGCTGTCAGGATACAGTGAAAGTTTACTACTGCAGCTTTAATGTGTAACATTAAGGAGGATCGGTTGACAAAAATGAAATGTAATATCCATAGGTATGTTTTTATTACATTCAATTAATTACATTTTTGTTTCCTTAAAAGGAGATGTTTTTATCTACAGATGCTGCAGGTTAACTTCCATGTTGAACTGGCATGTTTCTACAGTAGCCCAAAAGGGAGAAATCAAACACTGTAGGCAGCGAGGGTGAAGCAAGGGAGTTGTAACCTGCAACTACACTGCTATATGCCACTGAATACTACACACTGGTCCTTTTAAAGATGAAGATTTTGCAAACAAAACACATGACCAGTTTATACAAAAAGCTGCATTGTTAAATATTAAACTATCCAAAAGTGAATAATTACACTCCACTGCAAACAGCTAATGCGATGCTTACACCTGAATGCATCAGTAATAATAATCTGACAAGGGTCATTCTGTTGTCTAATGAGTAACATAAACTTTTTATGTTGGTATACGGCTGTACTTAAAAGTAAAATTATAATGAATAATGCATAATGTGTTGTTGCAACAATGGTGGCTGCTAAAGAGGTTAGCGTAGATGCTGCTAGCATCAGTTATATCAGAATTTGAGAGTATTTCAGGCCTGACAAATCCGACCTATTATGCCTTT